ATTCGTCGCCCGTCAAAACTTCAGTTCCTCTCTTTGGTTCTGACTCAATAATCTATCCCTCATCAAGAGTTCCACAGTCTCCTGGCGGAACACCCACAGCTCCCTACCGTCTGCTCACACTTGGACACTTTCAGTTCACAATCCAATTCCCCTGATTCTCCTTCACAATCTCTACTGCTGGGTCTCATCGGGCTCACATCCAAGTCACTCAAATCCCACATGTTTTGTAGGACCCACCAAGTCTTTCTTCCTCAAAAAAGCCTCTCCCCATCTTCATCACTTGATGGTAAACCTGATCCTGATGACACTTGCCTTGACAGATATGACCAGCTTGAAATCTGATATTTGTGAGAAATTCTCATTATCCATTGTATCTAATATAACTTTAATCCAGCAAATCTTATTAAGTCCTATTTACCAGGTGCTAAAACAGGCACCGGGAACAAGTGAGTTGGGCCACACCAACCTTGAGCTTTCATGGTGCAGTAGATAGCTACAACTGTTAGGTACTGTAACCTACCTCATCACTAGGCAAATTAGCATTTTTCTCAATTAAGATGCTTTGTTTAAGAATTGCAATTCATTTCAAGGGGTTGGAGAGATGGCTCCCTGGTTAAAAACGCTGGCTGCTCTTCTAGAGGATCCAGGTTAAATCCCCAGAATGCCTATAATTCCTGTTCCGGGGGATCCGATGGCCTCCAATGGCCCCTGCAAGCACTATATACACATAGTGCACATATAGCAGGCAAAGCACCCATACATACAAAATAAACAATAAATACACCTTTAATGAATAGAATAGATGGGAAATTTGAAAACAAATTAAAGGCCTGTGGATAGCTGTAATAAATGTAGAACTATCAAAACTTTTCATTAAAATACATCAAAATTTACACTTAAAAAGAACATACGTCTAAGTTTACTTGTTTAAAAGGACAAGAAAAAGGCTTCTGATTCAGAAGGACCTGGGAGCACCAAGTGACTAAATGCCTAGCCCCGGTGGCCACCAGAGCCAATGCAAGGCTAGAGCTTCAGCTTCAGGATCCCTTGAGAGACAGAGGCTACTGTGGGTGTGGATTTTTGACTTGGGGTTCCAGTAGTCCCTGGAGGACTAAGAGACTATAATGCTGTGGGCCTGAGTTACTCTGCACCTATGGCTCTAACAACAGCTCTAACAACATACTAGAAAGGCTTCAGTGGGTATTGTGTATCTTGTCTCCAGAAGGTTCACAAAATCAAAGGGATGACCAAAGTTTTTACTGCATCTGGTTGCTTTGGGGTTCAGTGTACAGCCTACCCTTGGTCCTATTGACACACAGATAACACAGTATCACCTCAGTGACTCTATCGGACAATCATCACCTAGTCTCACCGATCCCCACAGCTGTATTCATGCAGATTTCCCACATAGACTCTTAGAAAAGGAAAGTAAACACTTAAAAACAAACTCACACCAACAGATAAGCAAAGCAAACAATAAAAGTTAGAATAGCATGGAATTAAATATTTCAAGTTCTGGAAGTAAATAGCTGTGAACTATCTTTCAAAATTGAAATTGATGGAGAAGTAAGGGTATTTCAAGACAAGCATAAATTAAGGCAATACATAACAACCAAATCATCACTGAAGGAAATTCTTCATGGAATACTTTACATGGAGGAAGAAGAAAGACAGCTCCTTTAGAAGAATGCCTGAAAGTGTATACTCCATGAAAGGAATGGAAAGACAAAATAAACTCTCAAATGAAGCAAACACATCTAGCACAGAAAATCAGCAAACCCTCAAAACTAATAGAAGAGGAAAAGAAATGCTAATGACCCAGCAAGACAACAACAAAAAACCCTAACATTTACAGAAAATAGCAAATCCTTTTCTACAATAACTTTAAATATAAATGGTCTCAACTTACAATAAAAAGATGCAGACTGATGAACTGGATTTTAAAAACAAGAACTAACTGTATATTGTCTCCTAGAAACACAATTAGCCAGGACAGATATCCAAAATCTCATATCAAAATATGGAAAACAAACTACTAAGCAAATGGAAACCATAGACAAGCAGGCCTAACTATGCTTATGTGAGATAAAGTAAGCTTCAAATCAAAACCAAGGGAAACTATATACTAATACAGGGAACAATTCATAAAGAAGAGATAGCAATTCTAAACATGTATACACCAAATACTGGAGGCTCTACTTTCATAAAACAAACACTATAAGGCATAAAAAGACATGTAGGTCTTGGGATAATAATAGTGGAGAACTTTGATATTCTACTCTCAGATTTAGAGATGTCTGCCATACTAAAAGCAAACAAAGAATGCGCTTCAAGATACTTGATTAGAGAAGAGCTTTCTGAAATGAACTACATTTTCATAAGAACTAGCCTCATAAGAGCCCATCAATAGATGGGACTGTGTAAAATTCAAGTTTATGCACAGCTAAGGAAAGCACCATCAGAGCACACTGACAGCCATAGAATGGCTTACTATTCAGACAAGAGGCTAATAACCAGGATATATGAAGAACTGCAGATATTTAATACCAAGGAAATAGGACTGCCAATTAAGAATTGGACTAATGAGAAGAATAGACAGTTTCCAATAACAGGAAACAAATGGACAATTGTAACACAAAAAATAAAAACCCAGAGACTGATATTGGGCTTCAGGCTTCAAGCTAAAGATTAGAGAAGCAAAGCAGTCAAGCCAGTAGTTCTTACCTCTACCAGGCTGGAATGGCTATCCTGTCTCCACGAATCCTCAGAGACAATGCTACCTCCACAAATCCTCAGAGGCAAAAGCTCTGAGTTTCTGTCTCCTCCTCCCTTATATTCCTTTGTCTGCCCAGCCATATCACTCCTGTCTCCACCTCCCTAGTGCTGGGATTAAAGGTGTGTGATCCCAGTGCATGAGTTCTGTTACTCTTCACTCTTGTATAGGTCAGGGTGGCCTTGAACTCAGAGAGATCCATCTACCTGTTTCCTGAGTTCTGGGATTAAAGGCATATGCCACCACTGCCTGGCTCTATGGCTTGCTAGTATGGCTGCTGGGATTAAAAGTGTGTATCACCATTGCCTGAGCCCTATGGCTTGTGGCTAGCTTTGCTTTCTGAACCCTCAGGCAGGCTTTAATAATATATATAATATAAATTATATATCACCACAGACAATGACTGTTCTAAAGTGTTCAATATCCCTAGTCATTAGATAAATACAAATTAAAATTATTTTGAGATACCACCTCACTCTTCAGAAATCTGACAAGCGGGACTGGAGAGATGGCTCAGCAGTAAAGAGCACCTCCTGCTCTTTTCCAGGACCCAGGTTTGATTCCCAGCATCCACAGTCAGTACCTCTAATTCCAGGGGATCCAGCACCCCTTTATGGCCTCCACAGGCACCAGAAATGTACACAGTGCACATACTTCCATGCAGATAAAACACTCATCCACATAACATAAACTTTTTATAATCTAAGAAATGGAAAAAAGAAATCTGACAACAAATGTTAGAGGAGTTGAAGAAGAGGAACCTTGTTCACTGCTGGTGGGGTACACATTACCAGAGTCATTAAAAAATCAATTTGGAGGTTTCCCCCAAAATTAAAAAAAGGTAGAACTGTATATGACTCAGCTATTTCACTCCTGGGCACAGACACAGTGAACTCCACACCCTATCATAGAGATAATCTGTACATCCATGTTTATTGTTGCTCTATTTACTATAGCAAGAAGATAGAAACAACTAACATGCCCATCATCAGACAGACAATGCAAATCTGGTAAACATATAAAGTATTATTCAGTTCTATTGAAAAATGAAAGAAAAATTATAGGAAAATGATAGGCAGGATACATAATATTTACAAGGTTACTCAAGCTCAGAAGGAAAGAAAAAAAAACAAAAACAAAAACATATGTTCTCCTTCATATGTGGACCCTAGCCTATAATGTAATTATGTTATATATGTAAACAAATATACGTGTGGGAACATGTAAGAGAGGTGAAGAAATAGTAATATTAATGATGAAGAAAGGATTGAGGTGAAGGATGAAAAACTTGTTGTAGATAAGCGCATAAAAATAATGGCTAGTGAAAGTATAAAACGTAAGCTCCATGGCTTCAGAACGGCTATTCTAATACAATGTATTTATTCATTAAATACATAGCATTTGGGATTCACCAAGTGTTGATTTGAGTGACTGTGTTAATCTAGCTGCATGATATTTTAATTTGTAAGTTCATTATAATAGTGGTTTTATTTTTTACAAATTTAAAGAAAATAGAAAAATAAGACAAAGTATTGACAATATTTCCAAAGTCAGAGATGTAGAAACATAAATTTTCCTAGTATCTTTGCAAATAAAACCTTAATACTAAACTCTGAGCGACATCCAGCTCTCCCAGCATTCAGCCATCACTTAACTGTAGCTAAGTTGGAGCCCCCAAGAGTACCATCTGAAAAAAGAGACAAAAGGACAAACGAAGATGGAAGGAAAGAAAACCAAACTTCGGAGACAATGGTGCTTTCAAAAGATGCCAGTGATTTCTCAAAAAAGAAGGTGACAGGCTTGTTTGTTTATTTTGACAGGTTTTGGACCTATCATTTTAGAATCCCAGCTTAAAATCACTAAGTTCAAATAGAAACAACTAGATACATCACACATAACCATCAGACTACAAATATGAGATGGATTTGCTCATGTTATATTTAACAGAAAAAGAAAACACTTCCCTCAGGCCCAGCCTAGTACTAAAGTACTAGGGAAGAAAAGCTGGCATTGACAAGCTAGCAACCTTGCCATACACTTAGTTGTTTTTGTTTTGTAATCTCCCCAACCCCCTGAGGGCTGGAGATTCAATCCAACACTGCATAACAAGCTCTCCTCTACTGAGCTGTAGCCCCATCCAGTTTTGAAGAACTCTGCAAATTATTCCATCTCAACTTCCCATCATTCTTTGCAATCATTGTTTGATGTGTTGTGGGCCCCTACTCACCTCATAGGCATCTTTGATATTCAACGGCTCACCAAAAGCTGCCACATGTCCCACAATGCCTTTGTTCCACTCCAAGCGGATACAGTTATTGGAAGCTTCCTCCAGTGTCGAACCTTCAGCGACATCAAAGAGGCGGCTGACAAGAAATTTGTCTTTGGAGCTGTCCTCGCAAACAAGGAATAGGGAATAGCGATCGGCGGAGATGAGTCCGTGGATATGCAAGAAAATTTTGTGACATAAGGCCGTGACATCCAAATGACTGGAAATATCTTTTACTAACTCCAAGAGTCTGGAGCACTGGTCCCCTTCATCACTATCGAATCTTCGGGGGGTTAGTGGCATCTGTTCCTTTTTTCCTGAGTCAGAGAGAAAGCTCACAGTTCCCTCGGAATCCTTGACAACAATGGGTCTCAGAGGCCGGTCAAATTCAGAGGCAGAGATTTTTCTGGCTGGGGCTCCAGGGGTGGTATTGTCTGCATGAGGACTCTGCTGCGAGGAGCAGGAGCATGACTCCGTGTGGGCTCGGATGCCTTCCTTGCATATGGGGATGTTGTGAACTCTCTCGGAAAACCATGCGTTGACCATTTCTCTGCAGAGCAAAACCATGTAGACAGCTTAGATATTTGAGGAAAAAGCGAACTACTGTCTAAAGCTTCCAAAAACTCTGTCAATGTACAGTTGTAGTCACTCTCAAATCTTTCCAGATACCTAAAAAAAGAACATCTCTGTGGATGGTAATTTATTTCTCTAAGAAACAAGGCTCCTTTACCGTGTGACAAAGGAAACACAAGGGCATTTGACTGCGATGCTATATGCTGTAACAAAGACAAGCAGCATTTCAATTCCAACATGGCTGGCTATAAAAGTATGGCAACAACGGTACATTAGGAAGACATTAACAATAGTTTGTGCACTAACATAAATAATCATCACAAGGGCTGGGACTGGGGCTGGGTGCTAGAGTGTATGATCAGTGTATCCTAGACCTCGGGTTCTTCGCAGCTTAATTTTGCTAATGGGGTCTTTCTCTAAGAGTTCCCCTCTCTCTGTTCCACTTTGAATCAGTTATTTCTTTAATTTTCTCATCTCTTTCAGCACAAGTCTTGACATTAAATTTTCTAGTATTATTTTTCTCTTCAAACTGGTCATTTTGCATTTCTTTTTCCCCCTGCTTTCTCTTTTTCACTATAGATGAACATAAGAGTGATTACTAATAACCATGCAACAGAGTCAATTAAATTAAGCTGTCTTGAAATCTCCCCCACCAAGAAAATTAATACTTTTCAATTTTTCCTCAGGCAGATTTGTAGGACAAAGACAGAACGTAACCACATTCTTTGCCAAAATAGCACCAGAATGCTTCCTATCTCAGTTGCTAATATTGTTCCCCTCTGAGACCTCTTGAGCTGGGCCTGCACAGTCCACATTCCTCTCAGCATACTGTCTTCCAAATCCTACTAAGATGGCCCATTAAGCCTTGCTTATAGCACCCAAATGCTTTCCTAGTCCAAAGTCTTCCACAGTCCCCCAAAAACACACTACGGTCAGGCATGTCAAAGCAATAGTCCACTCCCTGGTACCAACTACTCTCTTAGTTACTTTTCTATTGCTGTGATAAAACACCATGACCAAGCCAAGGCATTTAATGTGCAGCTTATGGTTTCAGAGGGTTAGAGTCCATGATGGTAGAGCAAAGGAGTGGCAGCAGGAAGAGCTAAGAGCTTACACTTGATCTGCAAGCTGGGGATGGAAAGGCACACTGGGAATGGTGCCAGTCTTTTGAAACCTCAAAGCCTGACCTCATTAACAAACCTCTTTCAACAGTCCTCCAAATCATTTCCATCAACTGGGACCACATATTCAAACTCACAGCCCCAAGGGGCCATTCTCTTTCAAACCATCCCAAGGTCATTCATGAGATTTGATTTTTCACATCCCTTCATTTGGGTATGTCTAAAGTATTGCAATGAAAACTTAAAAAACAATATGGTATGTAGGATTCAAGAAAATCACATAGAATATCAACTACTTTGGTTTTTTAAACAGGGTCTCACTATGCACACAAGGTTGTCCTTGAACTCTTAATTCTCTTGCCCCAGTTTTACAGTGCTGAGGTTGATAGCTTGTGGGTCACTGAAGCCAGGCCTGGAGGGTAGTGAGAAAGTCACTTCTACAGGCTAGGATAGTGTGTGTGTATATATATATTTCCCTATCTCTTCCTTGACACTAGTGAATTTTGAGAAATATCAATTACTTAAAAAAAAAAAAAGTTTCATGCATGGTGGTGCATGCCTTTAGTCCCAGCACCTGAGAGGCAGAAGCAGGTGGGTCTCTGTGAGCTCAAGGCCAGCCTGGTCTACAGAGTGGGTTCCAGGATACCCAGGGTTTCACAGAAAACTCTGTCATTGTCCGTGTTGTGTCATGTCATGCCCCCCCCCCCACTAAAAAGTATCATTTTCTTCAAACCTGGTGAGGAAGACATTAACAATCTTACTTTCTACACTATGAAAGCAATTTAAATGTCTGGACCAAAGCCAGGCGTTGGTGGTGCACGCCTTTAATCCCAGCACTCGGGAGGCAGAGACAGGTGGATCTCTGTGCGTTCGAGGCCAGCCTGGTCTACAGAGGGGGTGCCAGGATGGGCTCCAAAGCTACACATCGAAACCCTGCCTCAAAAAACCAAAAAAAAAAAAAAAAATGTCTGGACCAAATCTATTCTGTAATCTGGTGGTACATCCACTCTCCTCTTCCTGGTGCTGTGACAGCGGAAAACATAGACTTCCTTGGAGTGTCCATCACTGCCGGTCATGAAGAAAGCATCTCATTCATTTAAACAAATTTGAAAGTCAAAACCAAATTTAAACAAAGAAGGCACAGAGAGAATAGGATCACTCATGGTAACACATTCTCTAATACTCTACATTGGATCATTACTAATGCCATGCTATAAATATACTATAAAAAATATGGATTCAGAGAACCCAAAGAAAAAACATTCTTGAGGATAGTATCCTTTAAAAAATTCTAATAAAATCCCATCATGTCTATATTTCTCTGGAAAGAGGCCATATTTTATAAATCAAAAACGTTGCACTGAAAAAACGTACAATGAGTATACTTGAAAGAATAGTCATTATAAGGGTTTAGACTATAGAAAAAGAAGATGCCCAGGTAATAGTGAGTTTGGAGAAAATAAGGAATAACTATTTTATTATAAATGGTATTCTAAATTTAAATTTCACTAGTGCCCTGTATTTCATCTGGCCAATCCAGTCATTTTATATTTTTTTTTCCTGAAATTGCTGGAGAACAGATAGGTACATTTTATGTAGCAGTCCAATAAGTTGTCAGGCTGCCAGGTTACTAATGTTATCACTTAAAGGTACACAAAAAGCAACCACACTGATTCTGCTTCTGATAACAGGACCTTTTCAAAGTCCATACCAAGCTTTCTTGTTTTACTTCACAACTACATTTATAATGTAGTCCATGGTGCTCGGAGTCGGGGTGGGGGGTACCACTTCCAAATTGAAATATTTTCTTAGAGAGGAAATTTTAATTGCTAAAAATTTGGGGGATTGTAAGTTTTTGGTCTCCAGCTCTGAGTTCTAATCTTAGCATTTGTTATTAATGGGATACAACTGCAATGATAAGAAACTTGAGTTTCAATTGCATCATCCATAAAACACAAACCAACTGTTTCAACCTCTCTTTTTCAATTTATTTAATTTGTATGGATGTTCTGTCTGCATGTATGTCTGTGCACCATGTGCACCCCTGTCACCTGCGGAGGCCAGAAGAGGGTGTCAGATTCTCTGGAACTGGAGCTAAAGTTGTGAGCTGCCATGTGGGTGCTGGGAATTGAACCTGGATCCTTTGAAAGAGCAGCCAGTGTTCTGAGCCATCTCTCCAACCCATTCCACCCCATCTTCTTTGAAAACAGTAAAAGATGCATGTCTATCTTCCATGGAGTAAAAAGTCAAAAATACCAAAGGAGTGTGAAGGGGAGAATTCCAGCTCCAACCTCAACACTATGGAGATGAGACGCAGGGCTGACATGCAAGTCAAAGCACAGACACTACAGCTTTTCTAGTGGGCAAGTTAGTGCTTTGCGAACGGTTTTTATTAACACATATGAAACATACAAGGAGGGGTTTCATTATGACACACTCACACATCATATAATGTATTTTGATCATATTTAGCCCTTCATAACCCTTTCTTATCTTCTCACTTCTAATCCCCTTATCTTTCTGAGCTGTCCCTCTTCCCTTAGGGGTATCCCTCCTCCCCTCTCCTCTCTATGGCCCACTGAGTTTAATTAGCATTGCTTATAGAAAAGCCTGAGTGAGGGGTTATTATGGGGCCTGGGTACCTCACCAGTGGTTATACCACTGAGGAAAACATCTCTCCCCTTCAGACAAGCACAAACTGCACCAACAGCCTCAGGTAATCCCTCCCTCCTCTCTAACAGTCTTGTAGAGCACAGAGCTGGAGTGCAACAGCCATGCCACATCCCAGGGAAGTGTTCCACAACACCTTTCCTTCCTCCAGCCCTTACAAGTTTCTGCCTCCTCACTGAAGAAACAATGATCCCTGAGCCTTGGGAGTGACGATCTGGATGTCCCATTTAGGGCTCAGCTTTCAATGGTCAGTTACTCCCAGAATTCTGCAGGTCAAGGAGTTTAGTGGCAACAATGGCTGCTGTATTGACAAGATAAGACCCCACAACAGTTTATGTTATCCACTGGCCAAGAGATGGCCGTGGGTCTAACAATCAAACTTCTTGTTGCTCCTCAACTTCTTCATTTTTAAATAGGCAGAAATTCTCCTGAGTCCTTCACCCTTGGCACACGGTTGATGGGCAAGTCAAATTAGAGCATGCATGGGTAAGCAGTCCATAACCTCTTCTCTTCAAATTAAATGTAAGCAGAGAAAGTACATGGGATGTAAGATCACCGGATATAAGATTTTATTATATCCCAGGTCCTTAGTACCATGCTAATGGAGATGCCAAACCAAGAAAGAAGCTTTATAAAATGCAGTCAATTACAAAAGGGCAGAAAATGCCCCTAGGAAGAGGAAGAAGTATGGCTTGGTACATGCTAGCTACATCCATCATGGGCACTTGGGGCCATGGGCGAAGCAGATGCTACCCTTGGCAGAACACTTCTTTTGGGATTTTGTTTTTGTTTTTGTTTCCTTTTTGAAGTAGGGTTTCAATTACATAATAAGCATCTGGCCAAATGAAAATTCCCATAGGTTTTTTTACACTTTGCTGTAAGCACTAATAATTAATAACATACAAGTCTATCTTTACTAACTGCCCTTTGAGCCTGAGAGCAGTCAGAAGGCACATGGCCTGAAGTCTTTTAGTTGATTTTAGCTTTTACAAGGCTGTTAATAAAAAGACAAATACCTAAAAGAAAGCTAGCCAAGAAAAATGCAATGAAAATTGATGCCCAAGATCCTCATGTTAACATCCCATCTAAATTGCTCCCTCTCCTCACTAAATTATCGTCACTCAACTTATTACACACAAAAAAACTCTTACCTCATAAGTGAAGTAAGTGTATATCCATTTCAAGTGAGAGAATTTAGTTTTGTTT